CCCCAAAACCCCAAAACCCCAAAACCCCAAAACCCCAAAACCCCAAAACCCCAAAAATAATTAAATTATTGTTTCTCTTCTAATATAAAATAAGTATGAACTTTTTTATGCAAAAGGACCCTATCCAGGAGCACATTGACTCAATTCTAAGTCAATGTGATTATGGTGTTCAAAGAGCAAACGTAGCAACCCAATGTAAAAACTTTTTACAACAGTATCCTCAATTCGAGATGACTGCTAATCAATTTACTTATGCTGGTATGTCAGGAGGTACTCCGCTTGTATATTTGAAGGGTGCTATGATTCTAACAATTGATAACACTCAGCATGAAGTGCCAATGCATTTTGTGCTTCCTTCAGGTTTTCCCAGTATTGCTCCAAAAGCATTCCTTACTAACCAAGTTGATGAAGAAATTATAAAAGATAATCCTTATGTACTGAAAAACATGGAGATTTTAAATCAGTATATGAATAATTGGAAGAGTAACCACCCTAGTTATACGTTAAATATCACTTACTACTACATCTACCAGTCATTCATGCTCTGTCCGCCTCTGAATTCATCAATTACACATGCCAATAGCAATCTTGAAGAGGAAAAGAAGGTTGAGGAGCCTCCTAGGCAACACCAAGCCAATGGAGGTGATGGAGAAGAAGGAGACAAAGAGTTCAAAAAGATCCTTCTTCTGTCTAAAATCCAAGAGAAGATTGACAAAATGAGCAAATTAGTTAAGAAATTCTCTGTTATTAGCGTCACACTTAGCCAAAATGCCGACATAATAGCTGCTGCTAGTGATAAGGTGTGTACCAAAAATGCTCTCCTCGAATCATGGATCAATATTGATCTTGATGAGCTCTCTCAGTTCATTGAAAATAATCAAGGGAAGGATATAAACGATATTGATGAAATTGTGAAACCAGAAGACGATGTCTCCAAAAGTATGCTCGAACTTCTTGCTGATGAGACAGCCTGAGAAGAAGCAATGGAAGTTGTTAGATCAAAATTTAGGAAAAAGAAAATAACAATTGATGAGTACCTCGAATCAGTCAGGACACTAGCTAATCACCAGTTTATGAGCATGTCTAAGAGGAGGAAAATAATGAGCACGGTCTCTGCACTGAAGAGATAATCCAAAATGGTTTACAAAAATAACAGATTCCTTCTTTATGTGATGCAATTCGATCAATATCTGTTCTCTTATCAGTAGCAATAGATTTGTTCAATATTTCCCAGAATGAAAGGGGTTTTGGGGTTTTGGGGTTTTGGGGTTTTGGGGTTTTGGGGTTTTGGGGTTTTGGGG